TTATATTATATTATATTATATTATATTATATTATATTATATTATATTATATTATATTGTATTATATTATATTATATTATATTATATTATATTATATTATATTATATTATATTGTAAGGCTATTAGTCCTAATATAATTGTATGGCCAAGCGGAGAGTTATTAAATGAAGTGAAAATTTGATTTGCAAGAATGGGATTTTTAAACACTATAGGATGTTTAGATGGCATGCATGTTCCTATACCAAAACCGAAAGATCATGGCCAGTCCTATATAAATAGAAAAAAATTTGCCAGTATAATCTTACAGGTATGTACATTAAATTTAAATTCTTTTCAAGGTTCTTATTTCTATTTATTTTTTAGGGAGTATGTGACCACATTTTAAAATTTACTCACTGTTATGCTGGTGAAGTTGGATCCATACATGATACTGCATTATTTAGAAGAAGTGAAGTTTGGGCATATACATTGGATAATGATAAATTTCCAAATGACACTCATTTATTGGGAGATAAGGTATACCCATGTGTTCCTCAGTTGATGACACCTTTTAAAGATAATGGTCATCTCACTGCTGCACAGAAAAATTATAACTTTTTATTATCACGAACCCGAATTACAATAGAACCGGCTTTTGGGTTGCTACAAAAAAGAATTAGAAGTTTGAAGGATCTTTTAGATGTCCGCTCTTTAGAATGGGCATCCCAATATGTGATTGCCTGCTGTGTATTGCATAATATTTGCATTATGCAAAATGATCTTCTAGAAATTGATCCCATAGACTTAGGGGATAACAATGAAGAATATATTGTTGGAATGAAGATTGCCAAAGAAAGGTTGTTGGCAGGACGAGAAAAAAGAAACCGACTCTGCCAACAGATTAATGCTCCGAACATGTAACATTAGTTATTATAGATAACTTTTAAAATAAACCATTTCTTGAAAACTTTGGTATTTATTATAGTTAAATGACTTTAAAAAAACCTAAATCAACATGTGAATACAAAATATACCTATTAGTTTTATAGTGTTGCACTACAGCAAGCTTCTTAAATATTAAATATTTTAATATAAAAAATAAAACAACTTCTTAAAGAAATAAAAATAATTTCCATTTGGTTCTCAAATCTTAAAAAATATAAATCAAATGAACAAATAAATAAAAAGAAACTCTATTTCTTACACATAATAACAAAACTTAACTAATTTCAATCACAAGGTTTACAGTTGCAAAATGTTGCAGTCTTTTCTTTTAATCTTTTTTAAAATTGTCTTTAAGCCAATGAAACACATTTTTTTTAAAGTCCATTTTTTCCCGGTGCCGCCTCTCTCTGTTCTACTCAATTTCAAAAGCAACTTTTTTTTTTTTAGATTTGGAGAAAGATCCTTCTTTTGCTCACTTGATCTAAGAGTTAAGATACCACTACTAGAGGCAATGGCAACTGGCTGAAGTTGGGGATCTTTATAATACATTTCTTCAAAAGCACCATAAAATTTCCAAGAAATGTTTTTATTTCCTGATCGGTTCAGTTCAAATTTTATCTTGTCATATTTTTTTTTTAATTTCGCCACTTTTCGTCACATTTTGTAGCGGTTTTTTTACTCCAAATACGTCCATTTCTTTACTAATAATTTCCCACACCTTCTTTTTGGTGTAACCAGAATTTTGAAACTTCTCCTTATGTTCTTTAAACGTCTCAATTAACAACTTGGTTATATCATCAGTCCATTTCTCATCTGATCCTGTTGTACTGGATGGAGTATCTATTTTGTTGCTAGAACAGGCAAATTCTCTGCTACTTGAAATTGTGAAGTAGGTCTCAAATTTTCCTTATTGCCCGTAGACATTGTTTTTGTATTAAAATCCAAAAAAACATTTGCACTATTCAAAAAACAAGAATGGGTACCTAATACATTTGTTTGGATTAAATGGTCCACTGTGCCCATTATACCAGAACAACCACTGCATTTAAATATTTCAGAAGTATCCTAAAAATAAAGTTATTACAGTTTTGTTCAAAATTCGAATCGTCGGTTGTTAGGGTGAGATAATCGACCGCATTTTCAGGAAACCGTGTTCCGTAAATAACCTGGTTTTCAGTAATTTGGTGTTTACGGAACGCTTCAAGTGTCACCAAAGCAACCAAGGTGATTAACGGAACATATATCTTGATGTAACATCCTCTTCAAGTTTCAGATGAACACTATCTTTTTTACGCCAAAGAGAAACTATATTAAGCTAAATTTTAAATAAATTACCTACTTTTTTTGTATAACAGCACAATTTTTTTTATTTGGCATTTCTTTTGCACAAGGGTCTATCTGCCTATAGTGACTTTTCTTGTATTATTGAGCATAACTTGATGTTATTTGACGCAGTTGTTATTTTCTTCTAAATATATTTTCAGTTTTATAATGATTATAGAACTAGGAAATAAAAATGGAACGTCTTGGGTGCGTTCCACTAAGCGCTTACAACGATAACGCTCACGACCGTAGTTTTTCCCGTTCCACTTACATGTGAGCGTTAGTATTATAAACTCAAGTGGAATGGATGATGGAGCGTTTCTAGTGTCATGTGAACATTACAAATGGCGAAGTTTGAAAAATAAAGTAGGTGCTTAAAGTGGTTAGGTTGCAATTCGGTAAGCATTAACAATAAATTTTAATATTTGTAGGCTAAGTTTATTTATATTAAAAAAAAAATCAATTTAATACTTTATTTTTCATTTTAGTTTAATTTTAAAAAAATTCCAATTTGAATATAATCGAAATGGCTTTTACGGCAGTTGGATATTTGTTGATGCATCGCAATAATGCTCCAGAATTTACTTCGTCTAGTTCAGATGAAGAATGGAATGCAGGTTTGCGGAATTATGATCGTGAAAAGTGAAAACATAGGCCACGTATTATTGATTATGAGAATGTAATTTATCTTTATTCCAATGAAGAATTCAAAAGTCATTTCAGGTGAAAGATTTTTGTCTCATTTATACCTGGGTTTTGAAAATTTATAATATCATTTTAGACCTTGGTTATACTATACGTTATCCTTAAATTAACTTTACTTTATGTAGATAATTATACCGTTTTATAATATATACGATTAAATAATGGAGTGACTAGATTTAAAATAAAAAAAGAACTTATAATAATAATAATAATAATAAATGAACTTATACAGTGTGTCGCATTTAAGATGAAGACACCCATATATTTTAACTATCTAAGTAAATACAGATTTAAAATTTTGCACAGTCATACAGGGTGATGGTTCACAGTTTTCAAGATACTCAACTGAAATTTAAATTTTAACCACGGCCTACTGCGAATCTACAAACAGGGTCAATTTTCGATTATTTTTCTTCGCGTTAGTTTATCGAATAAAAAAAATCAACTTTTAATAATTTTGTGTATTGACCAAAATAATGAAAAAACTAAAAATGCGAATTTTGTCATAAAATTTGATATGTGAGGTTAGAATAATATTCGGAACAACTTTTTCAAATAACTTTTTCTGATATCTCTAACGCGAAGAAAAATATCGAAAATTGACCCCGTTTGTGGATTCGCAGTAGGCCGCGTTTTAAATTTATATTTCAGTTGAGTATCCTAAAAAATGTGAACAATGACTCTGCAAAACTTCAAATCTGTATTAATTTAGATAGACAAAATATGGGGGTGTCTTCATCTTAAATGCGGCACACTGTATAATAATTAATTTTCTTTTTTAGACTGTCGAGGAACACATTCAATTATTTACATGGTTTAATACAAGAGGATTTAGTTCGTCATGTTCCAGGATGTCCTGCAATTCCTTCTCATTATCAATTCATGACAGCTCTTTGGAAAGCAACAATGGATTCTTATAGGTTATATTTAAAAAAAAAAACTTTTCTGGAGTGATGTACATTTAATATGATATTCAGAAATCTAAAACTAAATTATAAATTTTTTCTTTTACTTTCGTTGTAGATCGGTTAGTGACAGATTTAACGTAGGACGTGCTACTGCTGTAAGAGCTAGCTGTACGTCGAGTTTCTCACGCTTTATTTGTAAGAGCCTCAACATTTATACAATGGCCTACGGAAGATCGTGCTATTGATGTAATGCGTGGATTTGAAAGAGCTAGTGGTTTTCCTAAAACAATAGGAGCTATCGATGGGACACATATTCGTATAAATGCTACTAAAAAAAAACCCTGTTGATTATATCAATCGGAAAGGATTTGATTCTATACAGTTACAGGTATTTGATGATTTTTATTTTTAAGCATGAATTATGTCGACTCCTATACATGGCCCTTATGGAAGAATGCTGACATTGTAAAACTCTTTGTTCTGATATATTCATTTTTATCTTATTTTGCATTTTTTTATTGTTAGACGTTTTTATTTTCTTTTAGAGTAGTCAGTCAGTTGCTAGATTCCATATTGTTAAGTTGTAATAAAAAGTATAATTGTTGTATTAAGTAATAAAAGTATTTTTTTAAAAAACGAACTTTGAGTTAGTAGGAGTTAATTGGCGCAGTCAGTAGGATATCGGGATTGATTTGTATCGAACATATCGATTTTCGTTTCTACGATTTACCGTATATCGAACTTAAGTGACTTTCGTTTGTGACATTGTTCCGGAGTGGCTCCTTGAACTTCAGGAAACCCAGTCTATCGCAGACCCGACAAGAATAGTGGATCCAAAGCGGAAGAGAGAATTGAAACCCAAATAGTTCAATTCTGCAGAGATATTTTCTGGGAACGACAAAAATTGCTGACCTGGATTTATTTCTATAGAGGGATGCTCAAAGTTATATTTTTATTGTAAGTACATTTCACATGTCCGTAATTGACGATTTGTCAAATATTCTTTCTAATTTATATTTAGACCCTTCAACTGACTCGAATCTCGAAAATAATTTAGAAATAATAATGCCTGATTTTAAACCAGAATACTTAACTTGTGTACCCAACTTTGACGGTAACCCGAATGAATTACGCCTGTATGCACCGTTTTAACATTTGATCTCGATTTATAAATCTGGATTAGCTGTTGAGAAGTATTTTGGTATGCACGGTAGGTGGATTTAGTAATCCTTAGTACACATTTGGCAACAATGTTATATTTAAAAAAGAAGTAGAAAATAACCACCTACTCCTTCTAAAATACGGTCGATATTGTTAACGATAACGCATTTAAAATACAAACCATCCTGATTCATATTATAAATTTGTTAATTTTATTATTTTTATCATTGTGATTATGGATACTGATAGTTCAAAAAGAGTTCCTAATTTCACACCTAATGAAAAAGACTTTCTTATTAATTTAGTTGCTAAGTATAGTCACATTCTGGAGGACAAAAAAACTAACAAAGTTAGCATACAGGAAAAAAAAAACCATGTGTGGGACCAAATTGAAGTGGAATTTAATAATAACACGCAGATTGCTTGCTTCAGAAGTTCGAATCAGTTAAAACGTCTATATGAGAACAAAAAGAAGGAACTGAGAAGAAAAATGGCCAATAATAAAAAGGAAACATATTTGACTGGTGGTGGGACTTCACAAGTGGTTAAATTGGAGGCCAATGAGGAGGTTTTATTGCAAATTGTGAACGAGAAAACAGTTAAAGGTTTTGATGTGCCTTTTGACTCTGATAGTGCAACTTCTGAAGAATTATATTCGAGAGAAGTCGAATTATCCCCTGCTGCAAAAACGTCTAAATCATGTTCACTTTTGGAAAAAAATAAAAGATGGGAGGAAGCTGCAGCTGCTTGGAATGAATCCCAATCAGAAAAAAGGAAAAGGAAAGAAACAGAATTCGAATTTTCTCCAGTACCTTTAGCAAAACAAGTAAGTTAAAATATAATTTAATCTGTTTATTGTATTTTATATTTCATTATCATTTTCAGCCTAATACGGAAATAACATTGGAGGATGGTATAAATAAAGAGACCAATGCAACAAGTCAGTACCAGAGATGTCCACCAAAAACTCTTAACACCTCTACTAGTTCTGAATTAACAACACCCAGTTCTAGTATTAACTGTAGCAGGAGAAGACCTACAACAAAAATTAAAACACTTACATCTTCAGATGTATCTGATAAATACAATAGGTTACTGGATAGAAGACTTGTTTTAGTTGAGAAACAAATTGAGCAAATTACTGAACAAAATAATTTTGCGAGAGAGGAAAACAAACAAAAACTTATCGTTGTAAATTTGGAAAAGGAGGAAAAAAAAATGAAAATAGAACTTCTCAAGTTAGAACTTGCTTCCAAACGGTCTTCTCTGTGAGATTTGCATTGCAGTTTGTAACATATTTAAAATGCAAATTCTTTATCGTTTCAACTTTTACTTGATGAAAATCCATATTGTTTTAATGAGAAAAACCAAACTTTGTAGATTTTCACATGTGAACACTTGGTTTTTTTCTCGTTTAAAAAATAAATTTTATCATTGTTTATTACAAATAAAACTATTTTTATTACAAATTGATATTTAATGGTTTAATAAAGAAAAAATGTTAATGTTTAAGTATGTGCAACAAAAATAACTTAAAATTAAGATAAAAAATCCAAAAGTTTTTCACAAATGTCTAAAATGATTGTTAATAAAATGTTGTCTCAAATCAAAAATATTTCTTTCATTTATTCTTCCTGGGTCTCTATTATTAATTGCATTATTAATATTTCCTTGCACAATTAAATAGTCTAGTTCCTCGGCATTTAAGTTTTCTGGAGGAGGAGGAGGGACTTGTTCGTTATTATCTATGGCTATATTATGCAACACTGCTGTTGCTATGATTATATTACAAGTAGTCAGTACATTATATCTTGAGCCATATGCTAAAATTGGAAAGCGTCTTTTATAAACACCAATTTGTCTCTCGATACAATTTCTTGTCCTAATGTGAGATTCATTATAGAGTTGTTGTTCTCTTGTAACAGGATTATCAACTGGGGTTAATAAATAATTTTTATTGCTGTATCCACTATCACCTAAAAAATATTTATACCTATTTTCTGTAACAAAACATTACAAATGTGTATATTTCTATATTATTTTACCCAACAATGCACAATCTGCAAATTCCTCATTTTCCAGCCTGGCTCTGATTCTAGAATTATTAAATATAGTCATATCATGAGCTGTTCCCGGCCACCTAGCAACAACATCTCTAATTTTCAAGTTTGGATCACAAATTAGTTGTATATTTATGGAAAAAAAACCTTTGCGATTTCGAAAAATTTCTGCATCTTCTGCACCTAAAATAGTTCAAAAATTATGTTCTATTCACCACATTATATATTATATACCTACCAGGTGATTGAATTTTAATGTGTGTTCCATCTACACATCCAATTAGTTTCGGAAATCTTGCAATTCTATAAAACATGTTCGGTATATGAACAGCTTCATGTTGTTCGGGCATTCTTATGAATCTTGGCCTTAATCGAGCAATAGCATTGGTTACTCTTTTTAGGATTCTTGAAACAGTTGTTTGGTGAATCCCATGAAATCTCCAATAACATTTTGGTGACTACCACAGGAGTATATCCTCAAAGCTGCTAACAACTGATTAATAGGGGAAACACTATTATTCCTAAAAAAAATCCTATAATGTTATTATTCGAAACTTCTAATTAGTAACTTACAAATCATTATTAAACTCTAGTTCTTCTTCAATGTGTTGTAATAAATTTAAAACTGTGGGTTTCGTTAAACGGAATCTTCTAAAGAATGACATGTTGTCCATGTCATCAAAATAATTTGTTCTTTCTAAATTCCTCCTGGGAAATCCAAAATTTATAATATCTAAAATATCATCATCATCTTCCAAAAATAATTCATCTTCGATTTCCATATTAAAATAACAAAAATAATTTGCAAAAAAATCTATAATCAAAATAGCAAATAGCTAACAAATAACCATGTCACTTTTTGGTTTTGAGGTTATATTATCACGATTAAACTAGCCAGAATGACAGATCGAGTAAATCTCGATCAAAACCGGTAGTCGCAAGCGGTGCATACCAAAAATACGATATAATCCAGATCAAGTTGGTAATCCCGATTAAATGTATACGGTGCATACGGGCGTTAAATAGATATTTATCCGTATGCTCATCTTTGATTGATAATTTTTATAATATTGCTCAGCCAAATTGTTTTCAAAATGTTTATCTGTTAAATTGTTTAATTTCAAAATTAAGTGGCAATGCCAAATTAGTAGTAAATATACAAAATGTTTCAACTTGGAACGATTTAAAATCAGTATTAACTAGAAACTTTGCAGATCAGAGAGATGAATCTTGTGTAAATAGGGATCTTGTTATGATGAAACAAGGAGCTACTGAAAAACCACAACAATTTTATGATAGAGTTTTAAACATCCTAAATCTTTTGTGCAGTTATGTTGATGCTCACGAACACATCCTTGCATCTAAAGCATTAAAACGCGATTTATATAACGATTTAGCTTTAAATACCTTTTTAACTGGTTTAAGGGAACCTTTAGGGACAACAATTAGATGTATGAAACCTACTTCATTAAGTGAAGCTTTGCAATATGTTCTAAAAGAAGACAATGTTCATTATTACCAAAATTTCGGCAATAAAAATAATTTAAATAATGTACGAATTCAACAAAATAGACCATCTGTTTCACCACAAATTCAAAGACAAAATTTTAACCCTAATTTAGCATCTTTTAATTCAAATACGTCGAATAACTTTTCCAACAGACAAATTGCTTTTCCGTCGCAACCTGTCCCAATTCAATCCCAACAACCAAGGCAACCGCAAAGATTTTTCACTAACGCACAAGTTTTTGGAAAACCTCAGCAAAATCAAAATGTTTTTAAACCTAATAGAAACGTAAATTTACCAAATCCAACGCCCATGAGTGTTTCTACTAGAAATACAAGTAGTAACTATAAAACAACACCTATGAGTGTCTCAACGCGTAATTTTGCACCAAATTCATCCAGAAACTATTTTCAAAATAATTATTATCCTCAAAATAAATTTAATTCGGAGGAATTATTCAATGCTGAAGTTGACGAACAAAATTATTTACCGTTTGAAGAAAACCAATTTCCCGGAAACAACTGTTCACAAGGTGATTTTTCCGAAAATAATTTTAAAGGTGTATCTGTCGAAAACGACGAAATAAATTTTCAATTAACGCCTCAAAATCAGCAAGAAAGGTAACGCCAAAACTTATATCCTTAAATTTAAATAGCTCAAGTGAATTATGTTATGTTGTATTTCCTGAACATAATCTAAAAATTTTAATCGATTCAGGCTCTACTAAATCTTTTATAGATCCTGAAATTGCTTATAAATATTTTTCCAAAACTATACAAAATGATCCATTTGTTGTTAAATCAGTTTTCCAAGAATCAACTCATAAACATAGTACTTTAATTCCCGCTTCAAATATTTTTAACTTACCAAATAATTTAAATTTAAAATTTTATCTTTTTAAATTCCATAACATATTTAATGGTTTAATTGGTTTAGACAACTTAAAATTATTAGAAGCAATAGTAGATTTTTCTAATGGATATTTAGTTACACCTTACGCTAGAATAGAATTAAAATATTACCGAATTAAAGGTGATCTTAATTTAATAACAGTAACGCCTCGCTCTGAACAAGTTATAAAAATAAAAACTAGTATTAAAAATGGTGAAATTGTTATACCGTATCAAAAATTTCCTTATTGTGAAATACCCCAATCTTTATCTATTGCAAAAAATGGTGAAGCCATTACAACAGTTCTTAATATTAGTACAAACCCGGTAACATTAGATCTATCAGAACCGATTATTGTTGAAAAATTCGATAAAGTCCCGATAGAGAAATTTGAACTTAATAACTTCGACGATACTTTTTCTACTAATTTAGATTTTAATAAAATTCGAACCGATCATCTAAATGACGAAGAAAAAAATAAAATATTAAAACTCTGTTCAGAATATTCTGATATTTTTTATAGGGAAGACACGCCACTGACCTTCACTAATAAAGTTAAACACGAAATTCGTACAACAGACGAAGTTCCAGTTTATGCTAAAACATATCGCTATCCGTATATATATAAACAAGAAGTTGAAAATCAAATTAATAAAATGTTAGACCATAAAATAATTCGCCCAAGCTCAAGCGCCTGGAACGCCCCACTTTGGGTAATTCCAAAAAAATCTGATGCATCTGGTAAAGCTAAATTTCGTATCGTTGTAGATTATAGACGTCTCAACGAAAAAACAATCGATGACAAGTACCCTTTGCCTAACATTACAGATTTGTTGGACAAATTGGGTAAGTGTCAATATTTTTCGACGCTAGACTTAGCGTCAGGGTTCCATCAATTGGAAATGACGGAAAAAGATATAGAAAAAACGGCATTTAGCACTGAAAATGGACACTGGGAGTATTTAAGGATGCCATTTGGCCTTAAAAATGCCCCAGCGACATTTCAAAGAGCAATGGACGGAATCCTCAGAGGCATACAAAACGAAAAGTGTCTTGTATACCTTGATGATATCATTGTTTTCTCAACATCGCTCCAAGAGCACCTTGAGAGGCTTAAAAGTGTGTTTGATCGTTTAAGAGAAGCCAACTTTAAAGTACAGTTGGATAAATCTGAGTTTTTACGAAAGGAAGTAGCTTATTTGGGTCATATAGTGACTCCAGCAGGTGTTAAACCTAACCCAGACAAGATAAAGGCGATAAAAAACTACCCCATACCAAAAACCACAAAACAAATAAAAGGTTTTTTGGGACTTTTAGGATATTACCGACGTTTCATTAACAATTTTTCTAAACTGACAAAACCCTTGACAAAATGTTTAAAAAAAGGTGCAACTATAGAACATAACGACGAATTTAAATCATGATTCGAATCGTGCAAAAGTATTTTGACTAATGACCCCATATTACAGTATCCGGACTTTTCGAAGCCCTTTAATTTGACAACCGACGCCAGTAACGTTGCACTTGGCGCCGTTCTATCACAAGGACCCATTGGACATGACCTACCCGTAGCATATGCGTCCCGGACTTTAAACAATTCGGAACAAAATTATTCTACCATCGAAAAAGAGCTTTTAGCTATTGTGTGGGCCACAAAATATTTCAGGCCGTACCTGTATGGTAGGAAATTTTCGGTCATTTGTGACCATAAACCATTAGAATGGTTATTTTCGCTTAAAGACCCAAATTCAAAATTACTTCGTTGGCGCATTAAACTTGACGAATATGATTATAAAATAATATACAAAAAAGGGAAACTAAATACCAACGCCGACGCTTTATCTCGAATAGAAATTCACACAAAAGAACTTGACGATTTAATTTCTCAAGAAATTGATAACGCTATACAGAACGTGACAGACGATCCAAACGCTAACCG